TACTTATGAATTACCAAAGTTGAACAAAGAAGATAAAAGCATTTTAAACACCCCAATTACAATAAATAAAATTGAAAACATAATTAAAAATTTACCAACAAAGAAAAACGAAAAGCCCAGGTCATGATGGATTCACTGCTGAATTTTACAAGACATTTAGAGAAGAACTATTGCCTTTGCTCTTCAAACTTATCAATGAAATTGAAAGGGAAGCAATACTTCCAAAACTCATTCCTGGAAGCAAGTATCACTTTGATTCCCAAACCAGGGAAAGATGCAACTAAAAAAGAGAACTACAGGCCAATCTCCTTAATGAATATAGATGCAAAACTCCTTAATAAGACACTAGCAAACAGAATTCAGAGGATCATGAAGATGATCATACATCCTGACCAAGTCAGATTTATTCCAAGGATGCAAGGATGCTTCAACATACATAAGTCAATAAATGTAATACACTATATTAACAGAGTCAAGGACAAAAACCTATGATCCTCTCGATGCAGAAAAAGCATTTGACAAAATTCAACACCCATTCATGATACAAACCCTGCAAAAAATTGGAGTAGATGGTCTATATCTCAACTCAATAAAGGCTAGCTATGAAAAACCAACAGTCAACATCATATTAAATGACCAAAAACTGAAAACCTTCACATTAAAATCAGGAACAAGACAAGGATGCCCACTATCACCACTCCTCTTCTATATAGTTCTGGAAACATTAGCCATAGCAATTAGACAAGAGAAAGAAATTAAAGCAATAAAGATAGGAAAGGAAGAAGTTAAAATGTCATTATTTGCTGATGATATGGTACTCTACATTGAAGACCCAAAAAACTCTACCAAAAGACTTCTAGGCTTAATTGACACTTTTATCAGAGTAGCTGGATACAAGGTCAACACCCAAAAATCAATGGCCTTTTTGTACACAAATAACAGACTCACTGAGAGAGAAATTAGGGAAACAATTCCTCTTACAATAGCATCCAAAAAAATGAAGTATCTTGGAATCAATCTAACAAAAGTAGCAAAAGGCCTCTACAGTGAAAACTGCAGCACTCTGAAAAAAGAGATCGAAGAGGATATAAGAAAATGGAAAGATATCCCCTGCTCCTGGGTAGGAAGCATCAATATAGTGAAAATGGCCATACTACCAAAACTGCTATACAGATTCAATGCAATGCCAATCAAAATTCCAACACTAGATTTCACAGAAGTAGAAAAAAGAATCTAAAAATTCATTTGGAACCAGAAGAGACCTAGAATTTCAAAAGCCATCCTAGGCAACAGAGACATGGCAGTGGGTATAACAACTCCTAATTTGAACCTATATTACAAAGCCACTGTGATAAAAACAGCATAGTACTGGCAAAGAAACAGATCTGAGGATCAGTGGAACAGATTGGAAGACACACACACAAAAAAATCCATATGTACTCAGCTACGTCATCTTTGACAAAGGAGCTGACCATCCTCAGTGGAGGAAAGATAGCCTCTTTAATAAATGGTGTTGGAAAAACTGGATTTCTACCTGCCAAAGAATAAAACTGGACCCTTATCTATCACCATGCACTAAATTAAAATCCAAGTAGATTAAAGATCTAAACATTAAAACAGAAACACTGAACTTGCTGGAAGATAAGTTAGGCAGAACTCTTGAAGACATTGGCATAGGAAAAGACTTTATGAACAAATCCTCAGTAGCACCGGAACTAGCACAAAGAATCAACGAGTGAGATCTTATCTTATTAAAAAGCTTCTGCACTGAAAAAGAAACCATCAACAGAACTAAGAGACAACCTACAATGTGGGAAAAAGTTTTCAGCAGCTGCTGCTCAGACAAAGGACTACTATCAAGAATATATAGAGAACTCAAAACAATCAGCCCCCCAAAATAAAGACCAAATTCATAAATGGGCATCTGAAATGAATAGACATTTCTCAGACAAACAAGTAAAAGCAGCAAGTAAATATATGAAAAAATGTTCCACATAACTGGTTATTCGAGACATGTAGATGAAAAGAACACTGAAATTCCACCCCACCACACAAAGAATGGCTGCTATAAAGAAATCAATCAATAACAAATGTTGGCGGGGTTGTGGGGAAAAAGGAACCCTTATCCACTGTTGGTGGGAGTGCAGACTGGTGCAACCACTATGGAAATCAATATGGAGATACCTCAAAGAGCTGGGACTACAGGTTCCATTTGACCCAGCCATCCCTCTGCTGGGTATCTTTCCAAAAGAATTAAAAGAATCATACCACAGTGATATATGCGCACCAATGTTTATAGCAGCACAGTTTGTAATAGCTAAAATTTGGAAACAGCCCATTTGCCCATCAGTTGGAAACTGGATAAAGAAGATGTGGTTTTTCTATAAAATGGAATACTACTCAGCCATTAAGAATGAGAAATTAGAGTCATTCATAGGAAAATGGATACATATTGAGGATATACTCCTAAGTGAAATAAATAAGTCACACATGTGTAAATACTGAATAGTTTCTCTGGTGTGAAAAACTATTATAGTACATAAGATTGTAATGATATAATTGACAATGTGAAATAGACAGAAAAAGTTTAAATGTGTAGGGAAAATGGGAAGGGTAGGGGAAAGGTAATAAGGGAAAAGAAAAAAATATGAGAAATGAAAAAATGGAAATAAAGTGTTTGTAAATGGGGAGGGGAGGAGGGAGTGAATGGAGGGTAGGGACAAGGGGAAAAAATGAGAACCAAGACCTGTCATGTAAAGGTACAAGATCCCAATAATGAACATAATTGTACTGTATACCTTAAATGTACCAATAAACTCAATTAATAAAACAAAGAATAGCTAACATGCTTCATCTGCTTTTTTAAACCTTATAAAATTTATTCTTGTAACACAATTTTTAACAAATACAAATTTAAGTTTAACATTAACTCTAATTCTAAAATTATAGTATCAGTGCAAGGAAAAGTAAATAAACCAAAGAAAAAGAAGAGAGATCCAAGACAATACCACACAGATAAACACATTTATGAGAAAGGTGGTACTGCAGAGTATTAGAGAAAGAATTGTTTTTTCAATACTATTGCTCAAAGAGATATCTATTTTAACAAAGAAATCTGATCGCACACATCATACCATTTTATAAAAATAAATTCCAATTGGATTATAGGTCTACATGAGAGTGAAAGAAAATAACCCTTTTATTAGGTGACATTACAGAATAGTACATTTCTGAATTTGGGGGTACAGGTATATTTTCAAAACAGGACGCAAAAACACCAGTCATAAAGGAAAAGCTTGATGAATTAAGACTTTGCCAATTAAAAGACATCATTAAGAGAATGAGAAGGCATGCTACAGAATGAAAGAAGATACATGTGATACATATAACTGTTAAAGAACTCATACATGGAATATGTTAAGAATACCTATAAATGAACTCTAAAAACCACATGGCACAGATGAGAAATGTAGAGAGGCACTGAAAAAAAAAGATATCCAAGTAGAATACACACACACACACACACACACACACACACACACACACACACACAAGGAAAGGTGTTCAACTTCATTAATAATCAAGAAAATGCAAATCAAAAACACAATAATTAATAGATTTTCCAGAACTACTGAAAGTGAAGGCTAATAATACCATGCACAGACAAGGATGTGGGGAGGCATATAAACTCTTACACTGCCTGGCAGAAGGGAGCACAATTACTTAAACTGGCATGACTAATCTAGAAAATAGTATGGCATAGGTACTAAAGCATTCATGTGGATGTGCCCAGGGTACATCCACAGGAATGTTCCTTGCAGCATTACTAGGAATAGCCTTCAAAGAGAATTAAACCAATGTCCATCAATAGTATTCTGGATGAATAAAGTATGGTATAATCAAATAATAAAATGAAAGTGAACTGACTAACGCTAAGTGAAACAGCACAGATGAATGTCACAAATATGATATTGAGTTAAAAGAGCCAGACATAAAGGAACACAGTTTTTAGGATTTCCTTTGCATAAAGTTCAAAAGCAGACACAACTAAAATATGGTGCTTAAGGATATATTCTTATTTGATACATCCTTAGAGAACAAGAAATAATTCCCAAAGAAGTCAGGACAGTGGTTACCTTTGTGCATGTGTATTGAGAGGGATGGAGTATGTAGAAAGATGCGAAAAGGTGGCTCCTGTTTTAGTTTTTTACCTGATTTTTTTTTGTACTGGGGATTGAACTTAGGCCCTTATGCTTGCAAGGCAAGCAGTGGAACCACTGTGCCAAATCCCCAGCCTTTACTTGATTTTGGTTACATGAGCATGTGACAATTATTTATTAAGCTGTACGTTAGTGTACTTTTCTAAATGTACTCTACTTTGCTCCATACAAATGGATTTAAAAGTGTGGATGGGAACAAAAGCCAGAGGAATCACCTCTCCTTTCCCCAAAGCGTTTTTTTTTAGCTTCAGTAAAAATAAAAACTCTGAAGTGCAGACAATAATGAAAAACAATAAACAAAATTCTGAATCAATTTCATTAAGACTTCTACTCCTTTGTTCTGACAAATTCTAGAGTGTAGAACAACCTTAAATGACCATATTCCTTCTTTTTATTCCTTCTTTCTTCATCTAGAAACAGCCAATTACATCAGTTTCTTAATGAGACCAGAGAAGCCCTACACTGACTTGCCATGGGAGATACTGAGCCTGCACTGATGGAACAATCTCTCCAGATAAGTCATCCTCACAAACTCCCTCTTTAATCTTCAACAGCTTTGTGGGGGTGAAACAGTTCAGTGAACAGCTACCATAATACCATGCTAAATACAATAATAACAAATGGCAGGAACAAATGGTTAAATATAATAAAAAATAGGATCAGAGAAACACTAAACCGAGAGAAAGGAGTCCTTGAACAATTATATAAGAGAAGGCAAAAGAACCAAGCAAGACAAGTGCATGACGTCTTGAACTAGATAAGATTAAAAACATCTCTTACCTGTATTTGAGGTTTGGTTAGTTCCTTTGTATAGTAGCATGGCTTATTTGTCATCTTTATGGGAAATCCACATATATGAGGCAGTTTAGATTTTAAATCTGAAAGAAAACTTTTCAACACACCTTCCAAATCTACCCTTGGGAAGAACTGTATGGGCTGACTTCTAATGCAACTGAGAGGATATCTATACAAAGTTAAAGAACAATGTGAATGCATTTGTACATATGAGATAGCAATTTTATGGAATTAAAAACATTTAGATATCAATGTTAAAAATATACATAAATAGCTGGGGATTTAGCTAAGTGGCACAATGTCTGCCTTACAGGCGTAAGGTCCTGAGTTCAATCCCCAGTACAAAAAAAAAAAAGTAAATCCTATTTTATATTGCTTATCTCATACACCTTCATTCTATTTTTAAAAATATTTTTATTAACAATAATTGTATATGTTTATGAGGAACGACATAATGCTCTGATACAACATGCATAATTAAGGCTGGGTATGACGGTGCACACCTGTAATACTAGCACTTGGGAAGCTGAGGCAGGAGGATCACCATGAGTTTGAGGCAAGCCTGAACTACTTAGTGAGTTCAAGGCCAGCCTGGACTACAGTGAGACCCTGTTTCAAAAAAACAAAACAAAACAAAAAATCATAATTCACTTTGCCCTTATTATATGGCTTTCTAAATTGACAAACTAAAACAATCCAAAGATTTTTAAGAAAAACCATATTACTCTTGATAGAGACAACTTTTGTAAATAACCAAAGACCTACAAAATGTTAGGAAAATGTAGGATGACTTCTGCTCTTCTAACTAAAATCTACTCTGTTTAGTCCAAAATTAACAGATGCCAGAGGCATTAACCATAGAATGGAACATCTGGCCTCGGCCCGAGATAACAGGGCACATGGAGAGAGGCGATCCTGAGCTCCAAAGTTTTGTGAGTCACATGACTGTGAAAGTGTCAAAATGAAAAGAATAATTGTTTAACTTTACTTTTCTGATCTTGAACACCCCCTTCCCCTGGGGTAGAATAGATGAATCTTAAAGGTAAGCTTTCTAACCTCAAAAAAATGCTACACTGGATTAAAGTTAATTGTCTTGTGAGTGATTTGTATATGGGTAATGCTACCTGAGAGAATGAAATGTAGCAACCTGAATGAGGTCATGACTGTAAAACCCTATAAAAGAAGGAGCTGTAACCCAGTGGGGAGTCCATCTCTGCCACTGCCTTTGTTGAGTGGGATCAATAGACCTTTTGTCAACAAAATAAACCTTTTGTTATTTTACGTCCATTCTGCGTCTCTCTGCATGTGTCATTTACCAATTCCTTCTGTAACACTTACAGATAAAAATAAATGCATTAGTGAACAATGAACGGGTTGTAGTTCCAACAGCAGTGAAAACTTCAGTACAGAGAAACAACACATATTGATTATATTCAAATTCCAAAAGTAGTACTTTGAGGAAAGCAGTTACCTCTTGTGATGAGAAATAACTTGGAATAATATCTTGGCATCTAAAAAAAGAAGAATAACTGGTATATGTCATCCTCAGTTTTACTGTGGAGATCTGGGTAAGAAAAACAGCTGGCGCTGTCATTTCTAAACTCTAGCTAATCAGAATTCTAATTAAGATTTAAGATGTCCGCATGAGTAATTGTGCTCTTGTTTTCATGCGTGGCTTTTTAGAAATACTGTTAAAGGTATTTTCTTCAATGAATGCAATCCATTAAGTCAAATTCTCTAAACTTTGCCTAAGGAATAATCTTTTCAAAAAACAATCATTAATTGATTTCATTCAATGCTTTCAAAAATATCCAAAATACCACTAGAGGGAGCCCTTAGTTAAGAATAATCATTGGATTTCTCACTTTCTACTGGGAAACAAATATGTAAATATTTTGTGTGCCTACACAATTTTTCTTTTGTTCTCTAAATTGTTGAAACTGTATTTAAGGAAACAAATTATTTTTAAGCTCATACTCAAATGAAATATGAAAAGTCTAAGCAAAACCCAAAACACTTGTGCCGGTGAGAAGTGGAGGAAAACTAATTTCACTTAAATATGACATCATGGAGCAGAGCAAGACCATCAAGGTGGGCAGAGGGCATTTCCTACAAGCACTATTGCAAAAAGGATATGTGAAAGCCCTTTCTCCGATCATTTTGAAGTAGATGTTGCAGTATATTGTATTATTTCTATCATCTTCTGGAAGTTTATAGCCATACTAAAAATTAAGCACAAAATTTAAATCGACTTGGAGAAAGCTAAACAGGTTAAATTACAAGAAATGAAATCAAATAACTTCTTAATGTAATACATATTTCTGTTCCTACCAAGTTATCCCAGTGCATCTGGAAATCTTTGAATGAGTGGAATGGACAGTCAGCAGGGATAGCATGAAGAATATTTATTATTTGTCCCATTTTCATACTGTGAAAAATAAGAGTTTGTGAAATATTAGATTTCAATGCTTAAATATAGTTTGGTAAATTAACTATCTGATTTAGAAAGTATTCAAAAAGCAACCATTTCATTATCTGTATAAATAACAAATAAATAATTTGCTGCTAGTTCCAAACATTGTATTAAATCTTTTGTCTTAATTAGCAAATAAGGAGTACATATATTTACCATATATGACAAGATATTTTGAAATATGTATACACTGTGCAATAGCTAAATCAAGGTAATTAACATGCACTACCTTATATATATATATATATACATTTTGTGGTGGAGATACTTAAAAATTTGTGATTTTGTCTGTTTGTTTGCTTTGAGACAGGGTCTATGTAGTTGAGACTGACCTGGAACTCACTATGCAGCACAGGCTGGTCTGAACTCCCAGTGATCCTCCTGCCTCAGCCTCCCGAGTGCTGGGATTACAGGTCTGTGCTACCATGCCCAGCAAAAGTTTGATTTTTCAAGAATTAAATACAATGTTATTACCTATAGTTCTACCATGTTGTACAACAGATTTCTTCACTGTACTTCTCCTATCTAACTGAAATTCTGTATCCTTTGAGCCACACTCCCTAATCTGCTTTTTCATTCCCACCCCAGGCTTTGTTAACTACTATTCTACTCTGTTTAGATTCCTTATATGAGATTATGTGGTATTTGTCTTTCTTTCAGGTTTATTTCCCTTAATATAATGTCTTCCAGGCACATCCATGTTATTCCAAAATGATAGGATTTCCTTTTGTGTTAAGGATTTTTTTCAGTTTTTATTTTTTATAAGTATGTTTGCATAATTTCACTCATCTTAGGGAGTTGGTTCATGTACATAATATATTTTAGTTCTTTTATTTTTCCATCATCCCCTTCTAAGTTTTTTTTTCTTCATCCCCTTCTACGGACTTTTTTTTTTTTTTTTTTTTTTGTAGCTACTGTGAATGGGGTTGTTTTCCTGATTTATTTTCAGATAGTTAATTATTAGGATACAGAAGTACTAATGATTTTTGTATTTTTGATGGAGACTTTATGGTTCTGTGTATATATAAAACATCAGATCATCAGCAAACAGGGACCTTTTAACTCCTTCCTTTCAATTTGGATTCCTTTTATTATTTTATTTTGTTTTTTAAATTAAGTTCATTGGTACAGTTTAGGTATAATACAGTTACATTCATCATAGGGATCTTGTACCTTTACATGACTTATCTTGATTCTTATTTTCCCCATTCCCCAGCCCTCCCTGCACCCCCTCCACCCTTCCCTGTTTACAAAGACACTGTTTCCATATTTTCCCTTTTCACATATTTTTTCTTTTCCCTTTTTACCTCTTCTTACCCCTCCCACTTCCTCTACTCTTTTAGACCTTTTCTTCCTATTACACAATATCAATTATGCATTTTGATCCTTATTTACACTTTTAGTTTTTCATACTAGAGGAACTATTTGGTATTTACATATAAGTCTTACTAATTTCACTTGAGTATGGCCTCAATGTGCGTCCACTTAGCTATAAATATCTCTAGTTTCTCATTCTTTATGGCTGAGTAGTACTCCATATTATATATTTTTAAAAACCCCACATCTTTATCCAGTTTCCAGTTGATGGGCAATCGGGCTGTTTCCAAATTTTAGCTATTACAAACCGTGCTGCTATAAACATGGGTGTTTTTTGAGACAGGATCTTGCTGTGTTGTTCAGGCTGGCCTTGAACTCATGGCAATCCTTCTGCCTCAGCCTCCTGAGTGCTGGGATTACAGGTATGTACCACCATGCCCAGCCAATTTAGATTCCTTTCATTTCTTTGTCTTGCCTAATTGCAGACAAGGACTTTCAGTACTGTGATAAACAGAAATCATGAAAGTGAGCATTCTTGTCTTTTTCCTGATTTTAGAGGAAAAGCTTGCAACTTTTCACTGTTGAGAATAAAGTTACCTATGAACTTGTCATATATAATCTTTATTTATATTAAATGTTAACAACTGGAATTATTAGGAAAAACTAAAATGAATTGGGGCAAACAGCTACAAGAAAGTTTGCCTGATAATAATCAGACTTTAAGGAAAAGTCTATTAAGAGTAGAAGAAATCAGTTACATCTGTTCCCTATTATTTCCTGCTACAATGTTTAACTATGTGTATAATACCAGTTAATTAGTTAATTTTCCTGAGCAAGCTAAAATTTCATCTCAGTAGTTATACAAGTTATATGCTCTAGAGAATATAAATAAAATTTGGCTCATATAAAACTATAATGGACCATTACTAGGTACAAATATCATAAAGTTTTCATTTCATAATTAGGATAGTTATAATGAGAAATCTAAAAAATGTATTGTTTGAAACTAAAACTAATAAAAATGTAAATGTATAATAAAATCATTTTAGTAATTAATAAAGAAAATTTACGGCTTATGTAATTATATTATTCCAATATGTTTTCAAAGTTATAATTTGGCTTTTCAAATTCATCCAAATGGCCTATATTTTTGCACATAGAAATATTAAAGTAGCAAAGTAAGAAAAAAAAACCCCTATAATTTGAGCCCATCCTAGAAATTACAAATTTAAATCTCACCTTGGCAAAATATAGCACCAGTTGCTCAAAATGGAATGTCTCTCAATGACAGCCGTCTTCTTAGTATGAAAATTCTCTAAAGTACTCTGAGAAATATCAAATTCCTTTAGCTTTAATTGAAATAAGATTTTAACATGTAAGTCATCAAAGAATTTGTCAAAGAAAAAGCAATTTTATTATATATCTTTACACACATAGTTGGTTATAAAGTATTTGTAAAGATTTAACTTACTGAATCACTTATAAACACTTTATATGTATGTTATGATCAACGTTGCAGCACACCTTGTTTTGCCTTTGTACAGTATATCAGGTATTTCATGCTTTCCCTTTTATTCTCCAAACCAAAACTATTTTATATTTTTTTTTTTTGTAGTCAGGATCAAACTTGGGTCCTTGAACTTGCGAGGCAGGTGCTGGAACCACTGAGCTAAATCCCCGGGCCCTACTATTTTGTACTTAATGTCAACCAGTTTTCACTTTTTTGCTATATTAATTTATAAAAATTTGAATCCCTTCTCAACAGTTTTTATATTTTATAGAACAGCTTCTTTTTTGCTGGTATATATTTGGTTTTCTTTGGCACCAGGGATCGAACTCAGGTCCTTGTGCTTGCAAGGCAGGCGCCGGAACCACTGAGCTAAATCCCCAGCCCTTGCTGGTATATATTTGTAATACAAAATATTTACATTAGTTTGGGGAATTGGTATGTATGTATGTATGTATATAACATATCTTGATAAATTTTGATTCCCCTTCCCCCCAAACTTCCCCCTCCCAAACCTCCCCCATCTCTAAAAAGTCTTCCTTTATTTTACTCTTTATCTATATTTTGGGTTTCTCAGAGAAACCATGAAAAATTTAACTTTCTGTGTGACTTATTTTACTTAATATTCTTATCTCAACTTCCATCCATTTTCCAACTTTATGACTTAATAAAATTTTATTGTATATATTCCACATTTTCTTTTTCCATTCGTCGATTGACCTGCTGTTTTCAAAGTTTAGCTATTGTGAATTGCACTGCTATAAACATTATGTATGTATCACTATAGTTTGATGTCTTTAACTCCTTGGGGAATATACCCAGGAGAATAGCTGGATCAAATGGAATTTTTGTTTTTTTGAGAAATCTCAATACTAATTTCCACAGCAGTTGTCCTATTTTATATTCCTACCATCATCATAAAAGGGTTCCTTTTCCCTATGTCCTCACCAGCATTTGTTGATTTTTGTGAATAGCTTAATTTTTAAACTATGTATTTTTAAGTAGAATATAAGGAAGTTATGCTTCTACCTGATCTTTTAGAGGATAGATCACAGCACTAATGCTTAATTTCCTTTTTATATTCCCTTTCAGACTCCTAGAATTCTCTTTTCTTATTCCTCAGGTTTCCTACCTAAGTGGTATTTCAGCTTGTACATAGCCAATAAGAGTTTGCCACTTACAGTTTTCTCAACCTGCAAAGTCTCCTGGGGGATGTTTTCTAAATAGATACAGGAGACTTCAAGTGAGATAAAGAAATGAAATATTAATGGGTGAAAGGAATACTATATTAAGATTAGAAAGAATGGTCACAATTCTTCATCCTCTTTTAAATCACCATAGGGACTCTGGGCAACAATGTTCTATCCTTCTTTTTCCTGGAATTTTCAAGGAACTCCATTTTTTACTGCTTACAAAATTCATTAGAATCTTAATGATATGCTTGCTTAAAACATTGACCACAGTCTGATTTATCTGACTCTTATCAGCCACAGTCTTACAGGCCCCAGTCAGGCTCATTTCTTCTATATCTGGTGGCTGATTCTTCTCAGGATTTCTATGGCTCTTCTAATTATATATATATATATGGAGAGAGACAAGGAGGGAGAGAGAAGGGGAGAGAAAGGGAGGGAGTGAGGAGAGAGAGGGAGGGAGAGAGAGAGAGAATAAGAGTACATAAGGCTACTCAGATTAAATAAGGATACATGGCATCCTATATATGAAATAAATGTTAAAAAAGAAAGAAATGTTTTGCTGTATTGTGCTTAAGAAATCAGTTGCTGCCAGGTGGGGTGCTGCAGGCCTGTAATCCCAGCACTCAGGAGTCTGAGGTAGGAAGATTGTCACAAGTTACAGTGAGAACATGTCTCAATAAATAAATAAATAGAGCTCAGTTGCCTAAACTATGTGATAGAAATAATTGGTTAGGGCAAGGAACCGTGAATGTCAGATGTCAGAAAAGGTTGGGGAACGTGGGGGTGACTAGACCAAAGGAAAACAACCTAAAACAAAATTCAGAAAGGTAAGTATCTGGTTCAGATGTTTATGGGTTCTCACATACACCTACTTACATTGACAGGGCAATGTTATACAATAAGACAAGCCCATGCCTTGCCTCCATTTTGTTTGTTTGTTTTCCCACAGAATGATTTGTTCCAGAAATGTAACAGTTTGTGCTGCTGGGCAGCACTCCTGTCCAAGTATTAAAATGTTCTATAACTGTTTAAATGTTCTATTGGCTCAGTTCCTCTAAGGAATGTTCAGTTAAGCTCTGCCTCTTTATGAGGATATCAATTCTGCCCCTTACAAGAATGTTTTGTTAAATTTCACCCTTTAAAAGATGGTTCTGTTAAGCCCCGCCCCATTATAAGAATGTTCTGTTAGCCCCACTCTTAGAAAATGTTCTGTTAGCCCCACCCTGTTATAAGAATGTTCTATTAAGCTCTCCCCCTTCAAAGAATGTTCTGTGACTCTGGCCCTCTGCTTCAGTGAGCATGCTCACAGGGCATGTGTTTTAGGAATCTCCTGACTCTGGCCCTCTGCTTCAGTGAGCATGCTCACAGGGCATGTGTTTTAGGAATCTCCTGTAACTCTGGTCCTCTGCTTCAGTGAGCCTGCTTGCCTAACTTGTAGATCCGTATATAAGGAAGCCCTCATTTCTGGTAGGGTGCTCAGACTTCAAAGTACAAGCTCCACTAAGTCCACCAGCATAATAACCATTTTTCTCAACTCTTCGAGTGACCATCAGATTCTTGAGTCCTCAAATTGTGATAACCTCAGCTCAGAGCTGTAACACTGAGTTGTAACACTCAGCTGTGCCTCATAGCTGTTGCACTTGGCTGTGACACTGAGCTGTAACACTTGGCTATAGTACTTTTTCTGCTTTGCCACAACATAGCTTGAGTTTATGTCTTCTGAGTATTTTCAATACTATTCAGAGACTCAATGAACTGCTTCTGGGATACCCACATACCAGCACTTACTTATACTGGTGTCTCTCAAACCAGGTTATACTAAAGGCTGACAAGCTACCCAACTATTCACCACACATCCCAGGAGAATAACACCTTGTATTTTTTTTACTTAACAAATATTTATAAAGTATCCTTATGTGACTAAAATCATATTGATAAGAAAGTACAAAATAAATCTTCCTCCTTTTATAATGCTAATCTAAAAAATTCAGACTTAATTTTCCAAGCAATGTTGGGATACTTAAGAGATATTTAAGTTGGGAATATTTAATTTAGAAAAAGAATTCTGTTGACACTCTGAGGAAGAATTAAAGAATAAACCAGAAGGGGAAGAGAGGAACTAAGAATGCCCATATAGAGACCAGTTGAATGGTCGAAGGCAAAGGAATGGGGTTTTAATAGGAGCAATGGAAATGGAGACAGACAGGAACCAGTTATAGGAACAAAATAGGCTATTAAAGACAAAATGGACAGAGGACATAACTTAGGTGAAGAGTTGACCCTGAAATCTCCAGGAATTCAATTTATTGGCTTTTGATGCCAGTCCTGGAGCCAAAAGAATAATAATACAAAGGAGAAACAGATTTGGGGCTGGGATTCAGTTTTAGATATAACTGACTCTTAGTATTGGTATAACTCCTGTGAAAGTGTCCAAGAGAGGACTTGCTCTATGCCTCTATGGTGGCACAGAGGATAACAGATGACTCAGAGAAAATATATTTCAGTCACCAAGAGGGCCAGAGGGGCTGCCTCAACTGAGAGCACCCAGTGTTGGGGAGAATCCCAGGAGTAGCTGTGAAGCTGAGAACTCTCAGGATTTTATTTAGAATAGCAGTGTAAGAGAGAAAAACAGAAGAAAAGCAGTTGGGGCAAGGGACTGGCTCAAGTCTAGGCAGTTTCTTTGGGAAAATAGGAAGGACAACAGCCAGATACAATATGCTTAACCAATCTAAAGTTCTTGTTTAATCATCCACTCCTCACAGAGCCTGTGGATTTTTGCCCTGCACTTTAACCATTCACTCCTCAGCCAGTCCTCCTGAAGAACTGTAAGAATATACGGGAAGTATTTGGTGGGTAGAATGAAGCCACTGAGGTGGATAAGCCTGCTAAAGATAAGACAAGAGGACTGAAAACTGAACTACAGGAAATAGAAACATCTAATGAGATTAAGATAAAGAACTATGAACAAATGGTAGATTTCACAAAAGAAGTCACTTCTGAGAAATCAAGAAAGGAAATGATTTGAAGAATAAAATAGTATAACATAATTCAATTATTCAAATTATTTCAAAGATAAAAATCCCTCAAATTAGCCTAGCATGGTGGTGCACTCCTGTAATCCCAGCACTAGGGAGGCTGAGGCAGGAGGATCACTGTGAGGTTGAGACCAGCCAGGGCTACATAGTGAGTTCCAGATCAGTCTCAACTACATAGTGAGACCCTGTCTCCAAACAAACAAGCAAACAAAAAAATCCCTTAGATACCTGCTTTCTATCTGAAACCCGAAAGTAATACAGTTCCTATAAACCTTTACATTGCAAAACAGTTATTTAACTGTGTTTTTACTACATATATGGGAACTGGATATGGTGGTGAACACCTGTAATCCCAACACTCTGGGAGGCTCAGAAAAGAGGATGGCAAATTTGAGTCCAGCCTAGGCAACTTAATGACTTAGCAAGACACTACCTCAAAATAGAAATGTAAAGGGCTAAGGATGTAGCTCCAGTGTAAGGCCCTGGGTTCAGTTTCCAGTGCCACAGAAAAACAATAAATAAACAAAAAACTGTGGGGCATACAAATTGGAATGAAAGATCATGTTATAGTTTGGGTCTTGATGTCCCCCCAGGGCTGGGGATTTAGCTCAGTGGAATCATGCCTGCCTTGCAACTGCAAGGTCCTGAGTTTGATCCCCAGTACCTCCCCAATAGTAACTTGATGTCCCCCCAAAGCCTCATGTGGTCATAGGTGGTTTTTTTCAAAAGTGGTTGAATCTAAAGTGATGCTAGGATTAAGGGCGTGTGATTATTAACATTGATTGGTCTGGCCCCACCCTAATCCCAGTAGTCTGAATAAGATAAAAGGGGCAGAAAGATGCTGCTAAGGACCCCTGTTGCTTTTGGTGTTTTCTGCTGCCATGATCTATTGCCCCTCTACCAAGCTACCCTGCCTTGGAGCCAGCCAGTTGTGGACTGAATTTTCTACAAACTGTAAACTAAATAAACCTTTCCTTTTTTTAACTTTGTCAGGTATTTTGTCTCAGCAACAAGAAAAATGACTAAGACAGAACATGGTATCAGGAGTGGGGCTGCTCCTGACTGTTCCTGTGGTTTAGGAGCCCTTGGAACTGACTTGTGGGAAGGGGAAGAGTTTGGAAAGGTTCAGAGATGCCAGCTGAAAAAGTAGAGCTGGAATGCCTTAGAATGTATTGTATAGGAGATTCTGGTTAGAGCCCAGAAGAGCAGAAAGCCAGTAAAGACCAGGCTCAGGAGGTTTCTGCTGGAAAGAAGGACTACACTGGCTGCTGGGCTCCAGATGGTGTACTATG